GGGTCCCTGTGGCTGACTGTTCCTCTGTCTGGCTTCCTGGCTTTTAATCCCCTTTCTCCTGCTCTTCCCGCCAGTGTGTAGTATGCTTAACATTCTTCACCAACACGTTAATTCAAAGGCATAATTCTGTTTCTCTTTTTTATTGATTATCCAGCTTCTGTGTGCCTGTGACGCAATTGAAAATAGACCATGGCTTGGGTCGGGTCAGGCACATCTTACTTTCAAAGTAACATCTTTGCTTTTTAACAACTTAAGGAGATCTTTTGCCCAATGCAATATGTCATTTGATTTCTTGATGGCTGCTTCTATGGGTATTGATTGTGGTTCCATGTAAAATGAAATCATTGACAACTTCAGTCTTTTCTCCATTTATCATGATGTTGCTTATTGATCCAATTGTGAGGATTATTGTTTTCTAAATGTCAAGATGTAATCTATACTGAAGGCTGTAGTCTTTGATCTTCATCAGTAACATGAACTGAAGTACTCGTCACTTGACAGCAATCAAGGTTATGTCATCTGTGTGTCGCAGGTTGTTAATGAGTCTTCTTCTAATCCTGATGCCACATTTTTCTTCATATAGTCCAGTTCCTCAGATTATTTGCTCGGCATACAGATTGAACAAGTATGAAGAGAGGCTACGACCCTGATGCACACTTTTCCTGATTTTAAACCATGCAATATCCCCTTGTTCTATTTGAACGACTGCCTCTTGGTGTGTGTACAAGTTCTGCATGAGCACAACTAAGTGTTCTGGAATTCCTGTTCTTTGCAGTGTTCTCCATAATTTGTTATGATCCACACGCCTGAATGTCTTTGCATAAATCCATAAAACACAGGTAAACATCTTTCTGGTATTCTCTGTGGTGGTGTATCTATGTTGTTGTTGGGTGCCATCAATGAAACCATTGAGATGGTTTCAACTCATAGTGAGCCTCTGTACAACAGAATGAAATACTGCCCAGTCCTATACCATCCTCACAAGTGTTGGTATGCTTGAGCCCATCATTACTGCCACTATGTCAGTCCATCTTGTTGAGGGTCTTCCCCTTTTTCGCTGACCCTCTACTTTATGTGGCATAAAATCCTTTTTTAGGGACTGGTCCCTTCTGACAACATGACCAAAGTAGGAGAAACAAAGGCTGGCCATTTTCACTCCCAAAGAGCATTCTGGCTGTACTTCCTCCAAGACAGATTTGTCTTTTCTTCTGGCATCCCATGGTATGTTTAACATTCTTTGCCAACACTGTAATTCAGAGACATCAGTTCTACTACAATCTTTCTTATTCATTATCCAGCTTTTGTATGCCTTTGAGGCAATTGAAAATACCATGGCTTGGATCAGGTGCAACTTAGTCTTCAAAGTGGTATGTTTGCTCTTAAATACTTTGAAGAGGTCTTTTGCAGCACATTTGCCCAATTCAGTACGTCATTTGATTTCTTTACTGCTGCTTTCATGGATGTTGGTTGATTGTGAATCCAAGTAAAATGAAATCTTTAACAAGTTCAGTCTTTTCTCCATTTATCAAGATGTTGCTTATTGGTCCAGTTGTGAAGATTTTTGTTTTCTTATTTTTGAGGTGTACTCATACTGAAGGCTGTAGTCTTTGATCTTTACCAGTAAATGCTTTAGGTCTTTTTCATTTTCAACAAGGTTGTTAATATCACAGGTTATTAATGAGTTGTCTTCCAATCCTGATGCCATGTTCTTCTTCATATAATGCAGGTTCTCTGATTATTTGCTCAGAATACACATTGAATAAGTCAGGTGAAAGGATTCCACCCAACACAGTGTATCTGTAGACATATGTAAGTACATATTTGGGTGTGCTGTGTATATATCCATAGGTATAATAAAGCATATCGGGGACACAGTTACAGAGAATTCCTGGATGTATCCAAACAACTTGTGGAATTGGTTAATTTGGTTAAAGGGCTTAGGACTGTAGTCTCATGGAATAACTTAGTCAGTTGGCATAAATAATTAATAGCGTTAATGTTCTACACCCTAGTTTGGTAAGTAGTGTCTAGGGTCTTAAAAGCTTGGAAGTGGCCATCTGAGATACAACTACTGATATCTACTTATCTGGAGTGAAAGAAAATGAAGGAAACCAAAGACTCAAGAAAGTAGTCCACAGGAGTAATAGCCCACATGAACCACAGCGTTTCTAACCTGAGCCCAGGAGAACTAGAGAGTGCCTGGCTACCACTAGTTACTGTTCTGACCAGGAATACAATAGAAAATCCTGATTAGAATGGGAGAAAAATGTAGAATGAAATCCAAATTCATAAAGATTTTATGAATATAAGATACATAGATTTCATGGACAGATAGAGACTGGAGGAACCCTTAAGGCTATCGCCCTAAGATACCCTTTTAACCTAGATCTGAAACCACTCCTGGAGGTCAGCTTTCAGCCAAACCATAGATTGGATTATAAAATAAAAGTAACACTCAGGAGTAATGTGTCTCTTAATTAATGGCATGACACCAAATGATCAACATTTACCCAAAAGCATAGGTAAGAAGGAAAGGAAGGGAAGGGAAACTTGACCAGTGGAAATGGAACAAGCAGAAAGGAAATAATGGGAATGCTGACACAGTGTGAAAATTACAGTCAGTGTCCTGGAACAATTTGTATAAAGATTGTTAACACTGCCATTGAATCGATTCTGACTCATAGCATCCCTATAGAACCTATAGGCTTATAGGCCTGCCCCATAGAATTTCTAGGGTTTTAAATTTTTACCAAAGCCGATTGCTTTATCTTTCTCCTGCAGAGAGGCCAGTGGGTTTGAACCACAGACCTCTTGGTTAGCAGCCATATGCCTTAGCCACTGCACCACCAAAAACCAAAACACACGGCCGTTGAGGTGGACCCAATTCATAGCAGCCGCTCCTTGGGTTTCCGAGGTAGTATCACTACGGAAGTAGGTTGCCCAACTTTCCTTCCGAGGAGTGGCTGGTGGGTTTGAACTGCCAGCCTTCTGGTTAGCAAATGCCCACCAGAGCTACTATAAAAATTGTTAATGGGATACTACATCCTACTTTGGCGAGTAGCAACTGGGATCTTAAAAGCTTGCAGGCAGCCACCTAGATGCAACAATGGGTCTCTCCTCATCCAGAGCAAAGAAGAATGAAGAAAACCAAAGACACATGGAAAGAGTTAGTCCAAGGGACTGGTATACCATGCGATGCTCAACCTATATGACTATGAGACCAGAACTAGAATGGGTATCCAGCTACCACTGTAGGATCTATATAGGAGATCCTGGATAGAGTGGGAGAACAATGTGGAACAAAACTCAAAAGTCATATAAAAAAAAAATTGGGATGGGGACCAGGTTTGCTGGTCTGATAGAACCTGGTAGAGCCACTGAGACTATGGTCCCTAGCTGCCCTTCAGGTCTGAAATTGAACCTACTCCTGTGGCTTCCAGCCAAACAAAAGACAGACATAAGAGCTGAATATTTACATTAGGTAGATATACTTCTTGGAGAGATCAATCATGGGAGAATAGAAGGGCTGTGTATATACGGGGAGATAGGTCAGGAGGCAGGAGTGCATAGGAGGGAAGGACACAGGAAAAAGGTAACTATGGGGAAGAAGTGGGAAGAGAGCTGTTGCATTGTGGGAAATTGTAGTCAATGTCATGAGACAAAGTATATGTGAACTATATGGAAAATGAATATGTAAACTTTCACCCAAATCACAATAAAAAATTTTTTTTAAAAATTTGTTTAAAGGGTAACCTGATTCACTCTGTAAACCTTCACCTAAAAAAAAAAAGGCAATATTATTCTCATACTGTTATGTTACTTCTCTGTCTTAACCCTTTGTCAGTGGCTTAGGTATATTGTTAATCACAGGAGTTTAGGGAAAAATCCCTTTCCTCCTGTCTTCAGCTTCTTTGTACTCCATACTCCCCATAGACACAAGAGATATCCATTCTTAGAGCAACAGATTACATTCTCCTTTTTGGAAAGGAGCGTATTGAGGTGAGGAGCTGGATGGATAAGAGCTATGTGTCCAACAACTGCTCTTGTGTTTTTTTAAGTTAAAAGTTAAAGAATTAATTTCAGAAACAATACACAAATACTTGTAATATAAATTCATTCTTACCTGTTTTTTTCCATTAAACAAATGTATTCAGTGTTTTTACATACTAGCCCATGTAGTTCTGCCCTTTTTTAATGGCTGCATCACATACCAGTATGGATTTTTCATCTGTTATACACATTAGTTGAGTGCTAGTTCTTTCCAGCATCGTGCTAAGCCCTGAAGATACAACAATGTAAGATAGGTGCTCTCTGCCCCTTATGGCACATATGCTATCACTAAGTTTACCACACACGTCATGTGACTATAGCAAGGATAAAACTCATAGTGCTGTGCACATTACTAGAGAAAGATGTTCAAAGTGTGGAGATACTGTGATGTTTTACTGATGGACACCTTTTGCCATTGCTATGCTGTAGTGATCTCAGCATTATTTTGTATATTGTAAGATTAGATCCATGTGACAGATTTCAAATAATGGAGTGTATGCATTTCAAATTTGGTAGGTACTACTGTATTGTACTCTAAAAAGGCTGTCAAGATTTTCGTTGGGAAATGAAGTCTTAAATTATTTATAAGCAGGATTCACTATATAAGGTTCATTCCCTCTGTTCCTTACTTTGTAGGAAGGAGGAGGAGGAGCGAAGGAGGCGTGAAGAGGAAGAAAGAGAGCGTCTACAAAAGGAGGAAGAGAAGCGTAGAAGAGAAGAAGAAGAAAGGCTTAGACGGGAGGAAGAGGAGAGGAGGCGAGTAGAAGAAGAGAGGCTTAGGTTGGAACAGCAAAAGTAAGTATTTTGTATAGTTGTCTTTGAAAATGAGAAATGGACTACCATACCTTATTACTTGACTTTTTATCATTGTATGACTTAGAATAATTCTGTGCACTATAAGACTAGGAAGTAGATCAATAGTAGCTACTTGCCATTTGCACCAAATGATCTGTTACCAAAGAAAGCTTTGTCTTAAGCATCATTTGGTTACAAAAGGGAGAATAGATTGGGAGTATTTAGAATTAGTGTATACAACCCAGGAACTAGGAAACAGGAGCTGAGCTTACTTGATTGCTCTTTCTGTCTCTGGGTTCACATGATCTCGTCTTTGCTTCTCTCAGTTAACGTCTCTGCTTCATTCTTCCTGCCCTCTGTAAATTTTCACTCTCTACTTTGCCATACACAAGGCTATTCCAGCCTGGATTTATGTGGTCTGTGTTTCCATGCATCTGATACAGACTGGCTAGAGTCTGTGAGACCCAGCTCCAGATGTCTAGGAGAGAGTCTTACGACTTGGGAGTTGAAGCTATTTCCTATCCGTTTGCTCAGTAAGAGCTATGAGAGCATCTGCCTTGGAAGAGACTGATTCTTCAGGGGAGAGCTGTGGATACAAGAAGGAAGAGATTAACACCCATAAAACACTGTAGGAAGGAGGCCTGGAGTCCTAGAGCTGGCTTGTTTTACAGGTTAAACCAGAGAGCATGAGAGTTGTTGGATTCCTTCTCATTAGCTTTGGGTAGTACATCAGACGGACATTGTTAGCCTTCCGCCACTCCAGGGCCTCATTCTACTTTGGAGAGAAATTGTGAGTACTGCTCTTTCCCCTCTCCCTCCAGAGGGGCTGCCCTAGGTGGACTTGGTGTTTGTAAAGTTTTGTTTTATTAATAGATTGCTTTGGATTTTTGTTAGATTGGTCACATGACCATGTAGTTCCTCTAAGAAAGACTATATACAATAATTGTAATAGTTTACAGAAATTAGTATCTCTAATCCAAGTGTAATAAGTCTTGGTGGTGGCATAGTGGTTAAAGTTCTCTACTGCTAACCAAGAAGTTGGCAGTTTGAACCTGTGAGAGAAAAAAACTGGCAGCTCTGTGAGAGAAAAAAACTGGCAATCTGCTTCCATAAAGATTTCAGCATAGGAAACCCTAGGTTAGTTGTACTTGGTCATACTGGGTCACAATCAACTCGGTGACACACAGCAGCAAAAAAAGTATGCCTAGATATGATTTCCAGTGTTTCTTTTTAAGGCAGGCTTTAAATTTAAATGAAATACTTTACATTAAATAGATCCTCAAGTTTTCACTGGTTTTACTTATACTTACCTGTGACATCTTTTAACTGTTCTTCTTGCCTTTTATTATTGCTTTTCATGTGTTTAAGTAGAAGAGCCATAACCAACAGTTTAATGCTTCAAAGATCTCTGCCATAGATAATCATCATGGCTTTACAACATCATGACTAAAGAGTATAGGCTTTGGAGCAAATTACCTAGATTTGAATCCTGGCTCTGGCATCTATTGTATTTTTATGCAAATAACATGTACATTATACAAGGTTCCCCCTCCAGGGGATTCAACCACCTTACGTGTTTGTTTTCTGTGCATTTATGTGCATTATATGCATGGCCACAGTTATAGGCCAAAGAAAGAAAAAATAATAATGATATAACTAGCAGTGCAATCTCATGCAAGTTACTGAACATCTCCATTTACTCCTCTGTGAAACTCTGCCTCATAAGATTATTGTGAGGACTGAATGGGTTAGTACATCTAAGTGCTTTGAATACTGTGGCATATAGTAAAGACACAATAAATGTTAGCAAAATTGATGATGGTCGTGGTGGTGGTGATATATACTTGTTACTCTCCCTTTCCATCCCAAATTTTCCTTGAAAATCCTAAGTAAAAAGTTAGAGGCCACAGTTATTTTTAAATCTTTCTTCTGGGCCTGGGACAAATCTTGATTGATACACAGTACTAGTTTAGTCATTTTGAAGGGTTATAAAATTAGAAAAATAAATAATGAGGACATTTTATTTTGTCATGAACAGTCTCCTGTAGTCAGACTAGTATATATTTTTTAATGTTTTTAGGCAGCAGATAATGGCAGCTTTAAACTCCCAGACTGCCGTGCAGTTCCAGCAGTATGCAGCCCAGCAATATCCAGGGAACTACGAACAGCAGCAAATTCTCATCCGCCAGTTGCAGGAGCAGCACTATCAGCAGTATATGCAGCAGTTGTATCAAGTCCAGCTTGCACAGCAACAGGTATGATAGATAACCCAGAATTCAGCCTTAGAAAGGGTGTGTAGTTTTATTGGAACCCAAGTTCTCCTTTTTTTTTTTTTAACAGTTCCTATTAAATATTGTATTAGTTAGCCTCTTAAAATATAAAGTAGCTTTTAAATGACTGTTATTAGGGACATACTTTAGCATTGCACTGGCATTTATGAAAGAAAATACATAGGATATTGAAGCAACAAATTATGTAGCCACTACCAGTTTTTGTAGGGAATTTGAGAGTTGTATGGGCTAGGTGTCATTGCAGTGAGTCTGGTACAGAACCTGATATTAGTCCTGGAATCGTGATGAATGGGGAAATTAGCCTTAGCTTAAGTGTGCCCTGCAGGCAATGTACTGTCAAAGGCCCAGGACTCCCATCCCCTTTAGAGGACTATAGGCTAGTCCTCTAGAGCTGGGTTGGGTCCACCCTGACTTTCATGCTAGATCTGGTGCCTTGGTTGTGGAAATGTGGGTACCTCAGCTTAGTAGCCCTAGTTAGTGTTTGGTCATAACTAGACAGTACTCAGCTACAACACACTGATAATCCTCCACCAACCCTCACCCCCAAATGTTGTGTCTGCGTAAGAGAGAGGTGGTTTAGGGGAGAGAACATAGGACTAGGAGTCAGATACACTTGGATCTTGTCCTGGCTTTGTCATTTGTCTTGTTTGATCACAGGTTACCTACTGCTCTGCTCTTTCTGCCTTTTCTCCTGGTCTTTAAGAATGAGATAAAAAATTAAGGTATCTTAATCTTAATGGAAAGGAACCTTGGTGGCACAACAGTTAAGCATTTGGTGTCTGACCGAAAATGTTGGTGGTTCAAATCCACCCAGCAGCTCTGTAGGACAAAGACTTGGTGATCTGCTTCCATGGAGATTATAGCCCAGACAACTCAATGGGACGATTCTACTTTGTCACATGAGTTCTCTGTGAATCAGTACGTACTCAGTAGCACGTAACTATCTTAATGGAAGATACTGATTTTACATTCATTGTTTACGTCTTATGGAGGCATAAAATGCTTCTTTAAACTTCACATAGGTACATTTTACTTATTTCATTTTTTTTTATAAAATACTTAACCATTTGCCAAAAATTCTGAGTGGAAAAAAAAGGGCTAGGGCTACACCACAGTTACTCCACATTTCTTCTTAGATGAAATACTGTTTGTTGTTTTAGCAAAACTCTTTAAATTCCTTGAAAATATGAAAATATTCCTACATAGAATCCTTTTTATCCTGAGAGTTGGAATCAGTGAGAAGTTGAAAAGCATGGCAGGTTTTGGTTAGTCCATGAGAAGAGATAAAGGATCCCAAACAAGGATTTACTAAAGACAATAGGTGGCATTTTTGAGGCATTTCTTCTCTGTTCTCTAAAGTCTATTTCTGTTTTAGCCCTGTCACTTCCCTTTCCCTGCTTATGTGTTGGGCAGTGGGACAACTTTTTTAAATAAGATAGCTCACACACACTGTCCTGCTTGTAGGTTGCTGTCACTTAATGAAAAGAAAGTCGGCCAATTAGGGTGAAACCAAGAATCTTTGAAACAGAATTAAAACATCATAATTTAGATTAGAGTGATCAAACTCAGTTTATCACATTGATTGATTGCCTCTGGGAAGAGAGGAGGAAAGGAACAAAAGGGACCTTCAACCCTATAAAGTATTAGTTATTGCATAAATATTAAGCAAAATGATAAAATGTGAATGTTTGATAATTTGGGGGGGATAGTTGTGTAGGTGTTTGGTATATTCTTCCTGTACTTTTCTGTGCTTTAAAAACCATCCCACAGTATAGGAAAGAAATGATGTAAAGAAATAATTTCAATCTGTTATATAGGAAATAATTTCAATGTGTTGTATATAACACAGTAAAATCTGTGAAAGCCAGAACCTGTGTAAGACAGAAACCTGTCAGAGAAGGAAAACTCAAATATTTTCCACTGAATAGGGAGTGATGGAAAAGTGGTCAAGACTGTACCCTGTCAAAGGCAGAAAATTTGGGACACCTAGAAAAGCACGGCAGTCCTGTTGAATTCCGGGTCTCTGTAGGTTTCATTATAGCTGTATACGCACTGGCAATGGGATCTCAGAGAAAGGAGTTACTCATTTCATTAGTGAGTTACAAGAAAGGGACCATTTGAGCTGGGCCTATTGATCATCAACAAGAATGTTCTTTTTTTTTTCCCTGTCATGCAGTGAATGTTCTGAGTATGTTGCCTTGTTTTTATTATATGTGCTTTTTCTGGAAAACTGATTTTAGAAAAATAATGCAAAAGTAACTGAGAGTAGATCAGTCTAAGTCCTTGGGAGAAGGTACTTTCACATTCTTAAGTGTGTTGTTACTAGCCTGCTGTAGCTGCAGAGAGAGGTGATGCTGTTTGTTTCAGGAAATGGTTTATAAATGATAGACTAAATGAAATATGTATACAGATATGCATAGGAAAAAGTGGAATGATAAGCCCAACTGTGTCATAATCCCTAGATCATGAGATGATAAAGGCATTCTTCCTGTATATTTTCTTTTATTCCATAGTGAATATGTGCTTTCTACTTGTGACGTAGTGTTTTGGTTTTAAAAATTACTTTAATGCCCAAATGCCCATCAAAAGTAGATTGGATAATTAAATTTTAATATTTTCATGATGGAATATCCTATTATAATATAAATGAATAAACTAGAACTACTCATGACCCTATAGATGAACCTCCCAAAAGTAATGTTGAGTGAAAGAAGCCAGACATAAAAAAGAAGATACACTATATTGTTCCATGTAAGTTCAAAAACTACAGGCAAAACTAATCAATAATGTTGGATGTCACATTAGGTGTTCCCTTGGGGAACTCTTGTATCTAAAAGAGGACACACAGGGAGATCATGCTGGCATTTGATTCATTTTTTATTTTGCGGGGTCCATATAGATTTTACAAATCACAGCTACTGCCTTTGTGAATTTTCTTCTGTGACTATTACTTCCATCAAGTTTAATTTTTTCTGATTCCAGTTTTATTATCTAAATTATCAATATTTCAATCCTCCATTTTTAAGGACTACTGTTAATTGTGTTCAGCTTTTGCTCTTAATAGTTTTATTTTAGACTCATTTTTTCTGCCTAAGGAGACTTGGTGGCACAGAAATTAAGTGCTTAGTTGCTTACTGAATGGTCAGCAGTTCAAACCTACTAGTTGCTGCACAGGAGAAAGATATGGCAGTCTGGATTATAGCCTTGGAAAACCTGTGGAAAAGTTCTCCTTTGTCCTATAGGGTCTCTTTGAGTTGGAGTTAACAATAACGGGTTTAGTTTTTGGTCTTATTTCTGCCTCGTCTAATTTTTCCCTGGTTTCTTTTTCTCTAGTGATCCTCAGATCACAAAAATGTGATCCTTAGTCACAGTTTTTTGTCTGTGTTACTGTATCATTTTTAACTATTGTTTTGATAATCGTGCTGATAATTTATACCACTAATACCACTAATATTATTGAAGGAGCTCTGGTAGCATAGTGCTTAAGGCACTTGACTACTAACCAGAAGGCTGGTGGTTCAAACCAACCAGCCACTCCTTGGAAGGAAGATTGGGCAATCTACTTGCATAGTGATACTGCCTCGGAATCCCAAGGAGGGGTCGCTATGAGTTGGGTCCGATTCAACAGCACATAACAACAACAATATTATTGAGAGGATAAAACTTGATAAAGCTTATTAGTAATTTCTTGGAGTGGCGCAATTGCACAGCAAAGGCACAGGGCCAGAATGCACTCCAGGCCATATGTCCCACTTGTTAGCCTTCCTGGTCATTATATCTTCACTTTTTCTTGACTTGTAGGCAGCATTACAGAAACAACAGGAGGTAGCAGTAGCTGGGGCTTGTTTGCCTACGTCATCAAAAGTGAATGCAGCTGTAACAAGTGATATGATGTCAGTTAATGGACAGGCCAGAACCCATACTGACAACTCTAAGAAAGAACTGGAACCTGAAGCTGCAGAAGAAGCCTTGGAAAATGGACCAAAAGGTACTGTTTGCCATCTACATGTCACAGTTCATATTCCCTGAAAAGCAAAAGCCAGGAAGTCAGGTTATCTAGCTTTTGAAAGCAGTTACATATTTTTCAGAGTTCAACAATTTTTCACCATTTTTAGTCTGAATCTTGATGTTTCTGGTACCTTAAAATAGTGTAAAAGAGCAAATCAGATGTCTTTTGGACAGTTTTTCTTCTTATGTACATTGGTTCTCTGTTGCTGTGTTAGAATTTACACACAACTTCAGTGGCTTAAAGCGACAATAAATGTTTATTGTCACTATTACTGTCTGTGGGTCAGGAATTTTGTGTGGATCTGGCTCAGGGTTTCTCATGAGGTTGTAGTCAAGATGCTGGCTGAGGTTTTAGTTCTCTGAATGCTTGACAGGGACAAGAGGATTCTGCTTCCAAAATGGTTCATTCACATGGCTGGTACTGATCGTTGGCAGGACACCTCAGTTCCTGGCCTCATGAAACCTTTCTATAGAGCAGTCTTCAAACATGGAGGCTGACTTCCCCAAGAGCACATGATCTAAGAGAGAACAAGGCAATAGTGGCAATGTCTTTGATGCCCTACTTAGAAAGTCATATACCATCACTTCCTCTGTTTTCTGTAGGATACACCTACCAACCCTGATACTGTGTGGAAGGGAGCAATACATGTGCATCAGTAGTCAGAGATGAGTGCCATCTTGGTGGCTAGCTACTATATATTACAATATATTTTTTTGAGACTTAAGTACAGAAGAGAGCTCAATGTTTGTCAGAGCTCTGCTACCTTTTCTTAGACAGCTCATTCATTCATTCAGCAGTTGGTTGAAGGCTTTCTAAGTGCTAGGGGTATAGTAGTGAGGCAAAATACCCACACAAAATGTAAATTGTAGCTATGATGAATTCTGTGATGAGAAAGAGGTACATGATACCTGGAGAACATGTAACATGGGGACTTTGACCTAGTCAAAGAGGTCACCAGAAGCTTTCCTGAGGAAGGGACAGTTGAGCTGAAATCTGAAGCAAGGGTAGGACATAAGTATGTAAGAAGGAAAAGAAGAGCATTTTACTGGCAGTAGGCAGGGATAATGGCATAGTTTATATGAAATTTGATTTCAGAGATCTTCCTTGCCTTTTTAAACAAGGAACAAAAAATAACTTCAGAAAAGATGTTGTATTCCCTTGGTTTACCTCCCCCTGCACACCCTTTTTTTTCCCCCTATAGTTACAACAGTATTTTCAAATGAAGGAATCTCTTGTCAAAGACCCTGTGACTAAATCTCAGAAAACCTGTTGAATAGTTCAGGACAGATAAGATACTGCTCAATAAGAAGATTTTACTTACTTTTTCAGTCCTTAGGGGTTCCAGTCTTATCCAAGATTTTCTATTTCTTTGACCTCCTTTAGAATAGCCCCTGGCACTTTGAAATACTTAGAGATCAAGACTTTTTTTCAACATACAGACTAAAGTCAGCGCTCAGGGTTTTTTTGGCCACATCCAAAACAGTCCTGACCACTCTTCCTGGAACGTTTTCCTAGGTTCATTTAGGTCATTCTTAAGTCCCTTTATACAATTAGAGTGTTAAAAATGATCACTTCTGAGATTATGTATTGCTTTTGTTACTTAAAATGGTGGTATGATCTCTGAATGCCTGTGATAGTGATAAATGTAATTTAGAGAAGACTTCCACGAGGAGGCTTTTTTTTCTCCCCCAGTCCTTGATCTAAACTAGTTGTAGACCTGAGGCCAGATGTATTGTACTTGGTACCTAAATACTGCTGGCAGCTGGTCCTATGCAAATGTTGCTGCCTGCAGGTGAAGACTAGTTTGCTTTAGCTTTTGTAATTCCTGTTCCTTTTAGACTCTCTTCCAGTAATAGCAGCTCCATCCATGTGGACACGACCCCAGATCAAAGACTTTAAAGAGAAGATACGGCAGGATGCTGATTCTGTGATTACAGTGGGCCGAGGAGAAGTGGTCACTGTTCGAGTACCTACCCATGAAGAAGGATCATATCTCTTTTGGGAGTTTGCTACAGACAATTATGACATTGGGTTTGGGGTATATTTTGAATGGACAGACTCTCCAAACACTGCTGTCAGCGTGCATGTCAGTGAGTCCAGTGATGACGACGAGGAAGAAGAAGGTAGGGCCATTGTTCCATATTTAGTAGCTGCTAGGTTGTGTGATGGCAAAAATGGTGCAGCATTCAGATGTCAGCTGTTTTTATGCTTCCTGACTAGTTCTTCTTGCAAAGGGAGAAGCCTCTTCATTAGTGGAATTTTAGGCTGAAAAAGTTATGAGAGAGTCCAGTCTCTGGGACCTGAACATGAAATTTTCATAATGCCACAAAAATGTTTGGCAGTTTGTTATTTTACTGCTTTCTGAATACGGTTTTCCTTTCAACTTTATGTGTTGAAAAGCCAAATGTGCGAAGTCATTTTGAAAAATTTCAAAGGAGCAAGTAGGAAATTCTGCCAACCGTGGAATATATTTAAATTTATATTTCTGATATTAGCTTTCTTAGGTCTTTCTAAGATTTTTTTTATGCTCACCAGAATGTTCCACCTTAAAATTTTTTTCAGTTCTTAGAAATCTCAGAGTGTAATTTTTTTTTTCCCTGAATAAGTAGACAAAATAGGATATTTTCAAGGACAGTCAAAACTATCTTGGTCTAACCACAGAAAAACTAGATGAGAAAAAACATGTAACATGGGGACTTTGACCTAGTCAGGTCACCAGAAGCTTTCCTGAGGAAAGGACAATTGAGCTGAAATCTGAAGCAAGGGTAGGACATAACTATGTAAGAAGGAAGAGAAGAGCACTCAGAGGGGGATCTGTGTAGAAGATCCTGGATAGAGTAGGAGAACAATGTGGAACAAAACTCAAAATCATTAAAAAAAAAAACGACGACTAGGTTTACTGGTCTGATAGAGCCTGGTGAGACCCCTGAGACCATGGCCCCTAGCTGCCTTTCAGTACATGTTGGACAGGCATATGTGCTGAACATTTACATTAGGTAGATACACTCCCTGAAGAGATCAGTCATGGGAGAATAGAAGGGAGACAGCTGGGGGGCAGGAGTGCATGGGAGGGAAGGACACAGGAAAAAGGTAACTATGGGGAAGAAGTGGGAAGAGAGCTGTTGCATTGTGGAAAATTGGAGTCAATGTCATGAGACAAAGTGTATGTAAGCTGCTGTATGGAAACTGAATTTGTTCTATAAACTTTCACCTAAATCACAATAAAAATTTAAAAGAAAATCTTGGTCTAACCAAAAAAAAACAAACTCACTGCCTTCGAGTCGGGTATGACTTATAGCGACCCCTTCTTGGGTGTCTGAGGTGGTATCACTATGGAAGTAGATTGCCCAGTCTTCCTTCTGAGGAGTGGCTCGTGGGTTTAAACCATCCTTCTGGTTAGCAGTCAAGTGCTTTAGGTACTATACCACCAGAGCTCCTATCTTGGTCTAGGAAGTAGGTTATAAAATGTATCACTTATTAACTTAGAAGTTGGTCTTCTTAATATTGTTACTCCGAAAGTCAGAATTGGAAGCTTTTCTGTACACCTACTAAGCATTGAAATGATTTGTTGACTTGATTGATAGTAATATGGAAGGAATACCTTGACTGTGAGAATGGAACAAGCATCGTTACAGTTCTTTGGGACCAACCTTTAGGTGGCTTGTAAACACACTGTTTAGTCTTGAAGAGGGTTGGTAATGTTGTAGTTCCACAGGGCTTATATTGGGATCAATTTAGAGGTAATATTAAGGGAAAGTGAGAGTTCAGTTCTGAAAACAGTCTTTGTACCATTACTTACTGTTGTCTACATCTGTACCATATCTACATCAGAGCACACCAGAAATACCAGTACATCTTGCAGATTGACTCTCATCCCAGGAGCAGATCAGAACTCCTATATTGCAGGTGCAGATTTGAGCTGACAAATATAGAGCCGTGTCATGAGCCAGTGTCATTTAGCAGTTACTTTGTCTTACATGACATTTGGTTTTCAGTAGTCTTCATTCCAGAGTACCACTAGCAAGACAGAGCATTGCCCGTAAGTACTATTGCTGACTGAATCAGAAAGAAAAAGTACAAGCGTGAAAACAGGATAAGAGATGAGAGTGAGGCCTGAGCAGATTTGCCAGGTGTCACTACCATTGTTTGAAGTACCCCTCAGCCACATCAGAACCAGAAGCTGCTGAGTCCGTACTAGGCTTTCGGATGTGTCACAGGGACTCATTAAAATCAGACTGTTTGCAGATGTCTGGGATTGTGTGTGTGTGTGTATGTGTGTGTGTATGTGCATGTATGCAAATCATTGGATTTACCAAGAGCTTTGTGAATAAATGGAAGAATTCTCTGTTTAGAAGTGGGTTGAGGTGTAATACATTTCTCCCGGATTGCCTGCTGGGGAGCTTCTGAAAGCTTCTAAAAGGAGGTTCTTCCTAGTCTAAGCTCAGAGCTATTTTTTAGTTTTGGGGCTATTGATGTTGGGATGAGCACTGGTAAAAATGACTGGGGTCTAGTGCCTTTGTAGAGGTGAGAACCTTTATGTTCTTGACCTAAGCTATAATAGGTATCCTTAAGATGGAAGATAATATTACCTACTTGTGTACTCATTCCTTGTCATAAAATGATTTCTGACTAAAAGAAATCAATTAAATCTCTGTATTAATACAATCAATACTGAAGGCTTATTGTGCCTAAGAATTGTTTGCTAACAGTGAACGTAACTCTCTCTTGCTGAAGATTTAGCTCGCAAGCTGGGTTTGTCCAGATGCTTTCAGAGGATGCTATACCACCATATCTTGTCTTCATTCTGCATTTATGGGGAGTCCTTTTGGCTTGAGTTAAGAGAGAAGAGGTCAGGATTTTTGCTTTGGTTTGGTCTAAAAGGTAGACAGAGGAGTTTTTCTCTCAAGGATGGACGGTAACCCATCCTCCTATTTTAATTTTTCACTTTATTTCTGAGTCTCAAGTCTATGTATAAATTGATGAAAGGTGCATCTATCCCCGTAACCCTTAGTTTTGCAGATTTTAAACAAAACTTTTACCTTGAATTAATGGACCAGTCTGTTTCATGGATGTCCTTATACGCAGTCATGTATTTGAACGTCTACATTTCTCATTTGTACATAAAAGATATTTGATTTTAGATATTACTGTGGTAAAGCAAAGCAACTCTGGTGGCATAGTGGTTAAAGCATTCAGCTGCTAACCAGAAGATTGGCATTTTGAGCCAGCTCTTCTGTGAAAGAAAGATGAGACAGTCAGCTTCCATAAAGATTTACAGCCTTAGAAACCCTATGGAGCAGTTCTGCTCTGTCTGGAGGTTCACCGTGAGTTGGAATTGACTCAGTAGGAGTGGGTTTGGTTAAGCAAATCTTATTTAGGCCTTTTTCTTTTTTTAATTGTGATTTGGGTAAAAATTTACAGAGCAAATTTTCTCATACAGCAGTTCACATACACTTTGTGTCATGACATTGACCACAATTTACCCCAATGCAACAGCTCCCCTCCCACATCCTTCTGATAGCTCTTCCCTATGTCCATCCCTCCATGCACTCCTCTGCCCCCTGAGCTGTCTCCCTGTGCATAAACAGCCCTTCTTTCTCCCATGATTGTTCTCTCCAAGGAGTGTATCTACCTCAGGTAAATATTCAACTCATATCCCTGTCTTTTGGCTGGAAGCCACAGGTGTGGGTTCAATTCTAGACCTGAGGGGCAGCTAGGGGCCATAGTCTCAGTGGTTCCACCAGGCTCTATCACACCAGCAAACCTGGTGTTGCCCGCCCCCCCTTTTATTTTTAATTTAGGCCTACTTTTATAAGAGTGTCTTTTAGTTTTGGTTTTTTTTTTTTTCTTTTTTCTTTTTCTTTCTTCAATAAACTTTATTTTAGAATGGTTTCGATTTACAGAAAAGTTGCAAAGGTAGTACAAAGAGTTTTATATACCCAACACTATCATTAATGTGTTACATTGACCCTGTGAAAACTGGAACCTGTGATAAGGTAGAAACCCAAAACTCAAATATATTCTACTAATAGTGATAAGGGAGCTCTGGTAGCATAGTGGGTAAGGCACTTGACTGCTAACCAGAAGGCTGGTGGTTCAAACCCATCAGCCACTCCTTGGAAGGAAGACGGGGCAATCTACTTCCATAGTGATACAGCCTCGGAAACCCCAGGAGGGGTCGCTATGAGTCGGGTCCAACTAGACAGCACATAACAAGAACAATAGTGATAAGGAGCCCTGGTAGTTCAGTGGTTAAACACTTGGCTGCTAACCAAAAGGTCAGTGGTTTGAACCTACTAGCTGCTCCATGGGAAAACTGTATGGCAGACTGCCTCCATAAATGTTGTATAGCCTTAGAAACCCTATGGAGTAGTTAGTTCTCCTTTGTCCTGTAGGGTCACTGGGAGTCAGAATTGACTTGACAGCAATGGGTAATAGAGAATAACAGAGAAGTGGCAAGACTGCACCCTGTCAAAGGCAGAAAACTTGAAAGACCCAGAAAAACAAGATAGTACCATCAGATTGCGACTCACAGGTTTCACTGTGCTTTGGTACATTTGTCTATAATGAACCATACTGATGAACCTATACTGATCTATTATTACTAATAAAGTCTACATTTATTCACATTTCTTTAGTTTTTCTTGAGTATTCTTTTTATGTTCCAAGATCCCATCCAGGATACCACATTATTGTTAGTCATGTCTCTTTAAGCTCATCTGGACTGTGAGAGTTTCTCAGACTTTCCTTGTTTCCTGATAGTGGCCATTGACAAGTATCGCAGTTAACTTGTGGCACCAAACTTTGTTCTGTTGTGTTATAAATTAGAAAGTCTTTCATTTTCTATACTGAATGTTCCTTTGACCTCTTTCCTTCAGAATGTTTATATTTACTATATTAAGATGAAACTTTTAAGCTGGCTCATAATCTTCTCATAGTAACTTCTGTAGATTTCTGATATCATTACAGTTCAGAAAACTATAACCAGGGCAAACCTATAAAAATAAGTAACTCATTTTTTGCTACTGGATCATCTCTGGGTTACACAGTCCTAGTGAAAATAACTGAGTTTACAGAGTATCTCTGAATGCCTACCTCTACTGTGGTTTCCTCATTTTACTCTTTCCATGTCAGACAGACATCATATTTTTTTTTATTTTTACACAGCACACACGTTAGTTTCCTGTGTGTGCTTTATGTATCGGCATGCTATATGCAGAAAATATGGTAGAAAGTAACAGTCCTCAAATGCTTCCTTTCCACCTCCTGAAGTAGGGGGACTCTCATTGTTGAAAAGAGGAAGTATCAGAGCAGCATTTTCTTTAGTTTTGCTCCTTCTGGGAAAAATTCAAGAATTGAATGGATATAGAAATAGGAGCAGTGGTCAGAGCACTGCGGAATAGGGCCCAGAGCAGTGCTTAGTTCAGAGCAGGTGCTCAGGTAAATGGATGAATGCATGCATGAACACACAAATGCTGGCATGCACATAAGTTGCAGAATGGATTGAAAGGATGAAATACAATTGCTTTTTGTAGTTGTAGCTTTCCTGGATCTATTCATTGACTTCTCTCCTATTCTTTCTCTCAGAAAACATCAGTAGTGAAGAAAAAGCCAAAAAGAATGCCAACAAGCCTCTGCTGGATGAGATTGTGCCTGTGTACCGACGGGACTGTCACGAAGAAGTGTATGCTGGCAGCCACCAGTATCCAGGGAGAGGAGTCTATCTCCTCAAGTTTGACAACTCCTACTCTTTATGGAGGTCAAAATCAGTCTACTACAGAGTCTATTATACTAGATAAAAATGTTATTACAGAGTCTGGAGTCGGGTTGAGCAGAAGATGGCATTTAATTTTGAAAATTTCTTTTTGACTTTGTGGAGCATTGGAGTCATTGTTGATTGATTTGGTCTGATGGTTTGTGAACTCTTGTTGGGAATCAGGATTTCCCTGAGACCCTTTAACATTAATACTTTGGGGCTAAAGGGATCCCTCAGACTCATCCAGCCCTTGGGCACTGACCAGCAGAGTCTCTAGTGGATGCTGAAGTTACATGAACTATGTGTTAAATCTCCAAAATAAAACGTCCCAACGCTGACCCCACCCGGCTAATGGTTAGTCCACTGCTGCCTGTTCTGTGTGTTTTATGAGAGCCCATACTCACATTGCCCTCTGATTTTGAAATTTTTATGTTAAGTAGGCTATATGTGATGTAGCTGGCTTTGACTGAAGGTCACCATTTTTGAAACCTTGAAAACTCAAGACCTTGCTGATTATAATAGAAAAAGAAATTATCTCAATTTGATCTTATTCTGAATGACCCAGATTATTTTTGCTTCTGGTACAGTTGTTTAGTTCAGTTATATTATAGATCATTATTTTCTGAGATAATTTCAACCTAGAATGTTCAAACCCAGTTGACAGTTGATGTATCAAGATGCATAGAACACCTCAAACATCCTTCTCAGCGAGCCTCCACAAATTTTTTTTCTCTTCATCTCTTTTTCAGACTACCAGTAGCAAAGCAAAATAATTTTTGTCTTGATTTGGCTTTATAGATCATCTGAAATTGGAACTGTTTTCTGCATAACTGTACAGTTAGGGATTTTGTAAAATTATATTGACACCTACTGAATTTGAATATTTAAAATCATTTTAATATAATTTAGTGATGGGGAATAACATTGCACTAATATGGAAATCACTGCCAGAAACAGTCCATTTTCATTTTTGTTACTACTTAGGCACAAACCCTACATGATTCCTGTTTGGAATTACTTACTACAGAGAATTGGAAATACACGTGCACATGCTTAAATTTTATAGCTTTAATCTGTATTATGTCTTTATTGATGAGAAGAGGTACATCTTTGTTTTCCTCACCGAAAACAAGTATGAATTAGTTGCCTCAAAATGTATATGTGATTGTCTAGTCTAGAGATTCTTGTTTTCAGAAGGGAGTGTAGTGTAGATAGGAAATCACAGAGATGACAATACACACACCATTGTTATTGTAGGTTGTTTTTGGAATACTTAGATTTTTTAATTTCAAATCATAAATCACTTCTTGTAGAAGGGTTTCTGTTGATTAGCTGCATTATATTCAGTTCACTGCACAATGAGTTGTTTGTGTTTCTTACGTACTGCATTTCTTTCTATTTTTTAATACCTGGTTTTGTACATACCTAACTCTTTTCTCTTTTGATTGTTCAAAAATTGGATTATTTTCTCTTAAGCATTGCTTAATTTGTGTTTTTTTTATTTTGATTTGGAAGTAGTTCATAGGTGTCCTCGCTGTTACATCCAGAATGTCTGTCAGGCTGTCCTTCAGCTCTCATGTCCACATAGCATAGAAACTATGGGGTGAGGCACTGCCTGGCTTTGTTTTTTTGTTTTTTTTAATGAGAAAAATACTGTATTTAAAATGTAAAATAAACTTTTAAAAAGCAGGCACTAATATATATTTCTTCCAGGTTTTGATTACAGATTTTGTCCTTACACATGTTAAAATGAATTACCTTCTGAAAATACCATTGTTCTTGGGAGCAGTATGTTACTTTACATAGCAGCAGCAGTTCCTGTCACTTGTCATGTCAGAACATTTTTGGTTTTAAACTTTTTTATTGCCTTTGGCTGTTGATTAGTACAGTACAAGTGCTATTTCAAAAAGATCTTGGAATAATATATATAATCAATTAAAATGTTTATCTGTTACTTGTTGGTGTTTCATTAATGTCACTCTCTGAAGCATAAGTACTATATTTCATCATTTGGTAGAACAAGAAGATATGTTTTCAATGACATTTTTGGGCTTAAAAAGATCTAGTTAAAAGACAACAACAAATGGCTTCTTTTCTGGGAAATTATTTTGTTTCTGCTACGAAACAGCCTGGTGAGTTAAGATAGATTGAAATTTTTTCAGACTTGATGAAAAGGAAAGCACTGATTTTTATTTTTCAGAGTGACTTATTATAAACTCTTTCCCCTCCACAACAATGTATATAGCTTGTTCTCTGAAGTGCACACGGAAAATCCAAAATAGCTCTGAAGGGATGGTACCTACTCAGAATGGATGAGACCAGAGCAGCAGTGAGAAGAATGCCCAGTCAGTGTGAGGTGGAGTGCCAGAAACTTCTTAGAATTGGCCCCACTGAAATGCATGGTGGCTTGAATGTTTTTCTTTTTCATTCCTTTGAAATACGGAGTGGACAGAAAGAGGTGATCATCTAAGTATTTCTGCTGTGTGGGCTTCTGTAAAGCCAAACGAACCAGACAACAGTTCAGGAGAGTTGGTGAGATGTGACTGCTCCTGGAAACCATGCTCTGAGTCTTGACCATCTACTTTGTGGAAGAGGAGAGGCAACCAGCTCAGAATAATAAATGATTATTAGGTAACTCATTTGTCCTTAGAGTGCAACAGTCTCAACCAAAACCATTTCTGCATCTCCCCAGTTTTTGTCCTCATTCACTTATGGCAGCAACCTAAAAATGTAGGCATGTATATCATCTTGGGGTAGAGTAAATATTATTTTCAGTCACTAACTTTTCAAAATGTTTGTGATTAGTATTGGTCTTTTATCTCACATGTATGAGCCTAAGGTTACTTCTCTTTTCCTGTCAGAAGTTTTTCTTAAAAAAAAAAAGTGCCCCTCATAGTTATGTACTCCTGTTTGTCCTGCATTTCCTCCATGTGAATGGTGCCTCTCTGGTGCCCTGTGGTTGACTGAAGTTTTTCAAGACCAAGTTGGCCTTCAAAGCCCCTCTTTGGGATTTTTTGTGTTTCTCATATTCCAGATGCTTATTATTTTGATTTCCTTTTAATGAAAGGCAAAAGTGCTTATAGTTGGCATATTACTTGTAAGTTGTGACTTAATTAGGGCACTTAATTCAGTACCTAAGTGGCTGATTTTTCCAAATTGGTATTGCCCTTTTAACTCAGACAGCCATATTTCAAGGTCAGTTTGTAGATAATCTTCAAATAGTGTTTGGAGCAGTTAACTAATTTCTGGAAACTAATAAAAGCTTGCCTGATCGCTCAGTTTAACCCTATTACAAACCAATGGAGTCTGTTTCTGAAAAAAGCAAGTGCAAATGGGATTACAGATGCTCATCTTTTTTTATTTTTATTTTTATTTTAATGAAGTTCTGTACAGTTTTAACAATTTTTAAACCTTTTGTAAGATCATCATTTTAAATATCTCTAGTTGAAATTGACATATTATTTTCTGTGTCATGGAAGATAGGTAAGTATAAACCTGTATCTCAGAAAGTTTACATATTGCAACTTTTTTTTTTCCGGATTGTCTCAGAGAACTTTCCCTGTTAGTAAACAGAAATCTGTTCTTTTAATCTCCTGTGTATTCTTCTAGAAAATGGCTGTTTGGCCATTTTTCTATTATTGAACATTACGTTCTGATTTGTTATTGTAAATGATGTTCCAGTGAATTTCCTTTCATATGTCCCTGCAAATCTGCATGAGTTTTTCAAAAGTACATGCTGAGAAGTGAAATTGCTTGGTCTTAGGTTCTGTGCATTTTTCATTGTAATGGACACTGACAAACTGCCCTCCACAGTGGCTGAACTAATTTCCACTCCCACCAATAGTGTATAAGACTGTGACTTTTTTCTTTGTCAGTATTTGATATGATCAGACTTAAGTTTTAGTCAACTGGATGGTTGAAAAATTCATTTTAATTTAAACTTCATTTTAATGTATATTTCCTTTATAAACTATAAGGAAATCTTATCTGTGTTTTTATCAGTTATTTTTAGTTCCTCTCCTATAAATTGTGTATTTATATCCTTCACTCATTTCTCAATTGAGTAATCTTTTATATTTATTAGCATTTTAAAAATATAGTTTGTATACTAATCATCATTTGTGTATAAGTATTTTCTTCCCATTTATTGCTAGTCTTAACTTTGATGATGGTGGTTTGTGGGTTTTTGTTTTTTTTTTTTTTTTCCATTTATAGCTATTTTAAATTATGTTGTACATTAATCCATTTTAAAAATATAGTTTGTATACTAATCATCATTTGTGTATAAGTATTTTCTTCCCATTTATTGCTAGTCTTAACTTTGATGATGGTGGTTTGTGGGTTTTTTTTTTTTTTTTTTTTTTCCATTTATAGCTATTTTAAATTATGTTGTACATTAATCCATTTTTGTTACATTTTGACTTCTGCTTATTTCCACAGAGATACAGGTCTGTTTCAGAAATCTGTTCCATTTATTTGTCTAGTTGTATCCTAATCCCACACTTTAAAGTACTGTAGTTTTATAATATATTTTGATATAAGGCAGATCCCTGCTGTTCTTGCAATAAATTTTCTTGGCTATTTTTGCACATTTACTTTTTCATATAAATTTAATCATTAGCTTGTCATGTCCCCTGAAAATTCTTTTTAGGATTTACCTTGGAATACTGCCTTCAGTTTATAGATTAATTTGCAGACATCCAGCTGCTGATTTCTAATAAGAGCTCAGAATGCCTTTTTCAAAAGTTGAGAGTTGTTCTTTGTCCCTGAATGGTATTTTCAGTAAAGGAGAAGGAAGGTAAAGCTCTTCAGTGGTCTTTTCTCCCATTGTTAGTTGGGATGCTTAGCTAATCTGGGACAGCAGAAGACTCAAAAATAAAGTGGTTCAAATAAAAGACTTTGTTTGCTCTCTTGTTCAGGTTAAAATAAAGAAGGCCAGGTGGGTTAGGGCAGGTTGGCCCTAGTACTTCACAAAGTGTTTGAAAGCTCCAAGTTTCTTTTCTTTTGTTTCTCCATCCTAAGAGACAGCATTATTTTTGTATGCCTGGTTAGAAGCTAGCTTGCCAGCAGTGCATTTCCATTTCTAAGAGGGAGGAAGTGCTTAGTCACATGGCCTCCACTAGCTGCAAGGGCTGTTGGGAATGTCTTTAGCTGGGTGGTCAGTCATGTTTCCAGCCAAATCTCAGGGGCAAGTATCTATTACACAAATGGGTTCTAGTAGACAGCAGATTGCTCCACTGCCCTAAGCATTGATCAGGTAAGTTTTACAATGTATAGCTTGCATTAGTTTTTTTTTCTCATTATAAAAACTACACATAGTTTTTGTAGAAAATGTAGACTGTGCATAGGCAAAAAGAATGAAATACAATTATAAACCTACCATTAAGACTTACTGGCTATTTTGAGGAATTTTCTTCTGCTCTTTTTTTTTTTGTTTCTCTGATTTCCCATTATGATGTAATTCTAGCAAACAGAAATACAGAGAGTAGAAGATGAATCCTCAAGTACCCACTGCCCACATCGGTCCCATCTTACTAGTTTGCCCTTTTATCTCCCATTCTTGTCTAAGTAATAAACGTTTAGGAAAGAGTTTGAGCCCTGTGTACCCTTTCCTGATTACCCTTACTTCCTCCCAAATGTAAGCATCCTGATATTGATGCGTCTTATTCTGCATGGTCTTTATAACAAATGTGTTGCCATACAAAATAGATAGTATGATTTTGCAGAATGCATTTGAGTTTGATGTAAAATATCATTTGGTAGTTTTTTCTAATCCACATTGTTTTTTAGTGGGGTACAGTTGATTGTTGCAGCTCTAATATTACGTAGTAGTCCTTTATTTAGCAGTTTGTCACATGGATACTACATGTACCCTGTAGTGGTTCTCCTGCTATGGAACATTTAGGGCTTGTCCTGGGTTTCTGCTATTAGAATCATTCGTGTGTGTCTGCTTATGCTCATGTGCAAGAATTTCTCTAGTGTAGACCAAAAGGTAGAATTGTTGAGTCATAAGCTGTGTGGACCTCAAACTATTCTAGATAGTGCAGAATTGCTCTTGGAATGATTTTGCCAATTAAACTTCCAATAGCAGTGTACCTGAGTTCCTGTGTTCCACATTCTTAACAATACTTAACTAGATTTGTAATTTTACCAGTTTGATGGGTGTAAGATAGAACTTTATCCATGTCTTAATTTGCATTTTTCTGATAACCAGTGAGGATAAGCACTTTTTCATGTTTACTGGCCTGTGAAATGTATATGCATATCCTTTATCACAGTCTTCTAATGGTCTCCCCCCCCCCCGTGTGTCTTAATTTTCACTACAGCGTTATATTGCAATAACCATAACATTATCTAAATTGTTGTCAGAATATTAAACAAACCCCTATACTTAATAAAGGCATCCTGCCTGAGTCGTTCACACAACAGAAATAACTACCAGATTTTCAACTATCCTAGTGGGCCTTTTTCTTGATTTGTAAAAAGTACTTTAATACAATTTTTGATCATGTCCATCACAAATAACTGGGCTTTGGATTCCCCCCCCGCCCATTTTGCTTATGATATCTTTTATTGTTTAGAAGTTTTTACTTTGAAATTTATCAACCTTCCATGGTGTGTACTTCCTGTATCTTTAAGAACTTTTTTCTCCAGCCTTGAGGATATAGTCTTCTGTGTTTTCTCCAAGATCTTTATTTTTTATATGAGTCAGAAATCTGATTATTTGTTTTTCCATAAGGCTAACCAGTTATCCCATTACCATTTGTAGACTAGTTGTCTTTTACCCACTACTTGTAATGCCACCTCTGTTAGGTATCAGACCTCCATATCTATATATGGGAGTCATTCTCTGGGCTCTCTATTCTGTTTAATTATCAATTTTTGTCTGTTTTTGTATCAGTATCACACTGTCATAATTATTTTAGCTTTAACATTAGTCTTGATGTCTGGT